ATATGGACCCAATACAGGAGCACCCAGATATATAAGGCAAGTTCTTAATGACTTACAAAGAAACTTAGACTCCCACACAACAATAGTGGGAGACTTTAACACTTCATTGTCAATATTAGACAGATCAACCAGACAGAAAATTAACAAGGATATCCAGGGCTTGAACTCAGACCTGGAACAAGCAAACCTGATAGACATTTACAGAACTCTCCACCCCAAATCCACAGAATATGCATTCTTCACAGCACCACATCACACCTACTCTAAAATTGACCACATAATTGGAAGTAAAGCACTCCTCAGCAAATACAGAATAAATGAACTCATAACAAACAGTCTCTCAGACCATAGTGCAATCAAGCTAGAACTCAGAATTCAGAAACTAACCCAGAACCGCACAGCTTCATGGAAACTGAACAACTGGCTCTTGAATGTTGACTGGATAAACAATGAAATGAAGGCAGAAATAAAGAAGTTCTTCGAAACCAACGAGAATGAAGACACAACATACAAAAATCTCTGGGACACATTTAAAGCAGTCTCCAGAGGAAAATATATAACAATAAGTGCCCACATGAGAAGAGTGGAGAGTTCCAAAATTGACACCCTATCATCAAAATTGAAAGAGCTAGAGGAGCAAGATCAAAAAAATTCAAAACCTAGCAGAAGACAAGAAATAACTAAGATCAGAGCAGAACTGAAGGAGATAGAGACGCAAAAAACCCTTCAAAAATCAAGAAAATCAAGAGCTGGTTTTTAGAAAACATCAACAAAATAGACAGACCACTAGCCAGTCTGATAAAAAAGAAAAGAGAATAACCAAATAGATGCAATAAAAAATGATAAAGAAGAAATCACCACAGACTCCACAGAAATTCAAACCATTATCAGAGAATACTACAAACAACTCTATGCACATAAACTAGTAAACCTGGAAGAAATGTATAAATTCCTGGACACCTGTGTCCTCCCAAGCCTAAACCAGGAGGAAGCCAAAACTATGAATAGACCAAAAACAAGATCTGAAGTCGAGGCAGCAATTAAGAGCCTACCTCTCAAAAAAAGTACAGGTCCAGATGAGTTCACAGCCGAATTCTACCAGAAACACAAAGAGGAGCTGGTACCATTCCTTCTGAAACTATTCCAAATAATAAAAAAATAGGGAATCCTTCCCAAATCATTTTATGAGACCAACATCATCCTGATACCAAAACCTGGTGGAGAATCAACAAGAAAAGAAAATTCAGGCCAATATCCATGATGGACATAGATGCAAAAATCTTCAATAAAATACTGGCAGGCCGATTGCAACAGCACATCAAAAAACTTACCCATCATGATCAAGTAGGATTCATCCCGGGGATGCAAGGTTGGTTCAACATACACAAGTCTATAAACGTAATTCACAGAACCAAAAACAATAACAACATGATTAACTCAATTGAGGCAGAGAAGGCATTCGACGAAATTCAACAGCCCTTTATGCTAAAAACCCTCAATAAACTCGGTATTGATGGAACCTATCTCAAAGTAATAAAAGCTGTTTACGACAAACCAACAGCCAATATGATACTGAATGGGCAAAAAACTGGAAGCATTGTAGCATTCCCTTTGAATTTGGCACTAGACAAGGATGCCCTCTCTCACCACTCCTATTCAATATAGTACTGGAAGTTCTAGCCAGAGCAATCAGGCAAGGAAAAGAAATAAAGGGCATTCAAATAGGAAAGGTGGAAGCCAAATTGTCTCTTTGCAGATGACATGATAGTATACCTAGAAGACCCCATCGCCTGAGACCAAAAACTCCTGAAACTGATAAGCAACTTCAGAAAAGTCTCAGGATATAAAATCAAGGTGCAAAAATCACAAGCATTCCTATATACCAATGACAGACTTAAAGAGAGCCAAATCAAGAATGAACTGCCATTCACAATTGCTACAAAAAGAATAAAATACCTAGGAATACAACTTACAAGGAACGTAAGTGACCTCTTCAAGGAAAACTACAAACCACTGCTCAACGAAATAAGAGAGGACACAAACAGATGGAGAAACATTCCATGTTCATGGTTAGGAAGAATTAATATCATGAAAATGGCTATACTGCCCAAAGTAATTTACAGAATCAACACTATTCCCATCAAGATCCCATTGACTTTCTTCACAGAACTGGAAAAAACCACCATGAACTTCACATGGAATCAAAAGAGAGCCCGCATAGCCAAGTCAATTCTAAGCAAAAAGAACACAGCGGGAGGAATCACACTACCGGATTTTAAACTATACTACAAGGCAACAGTAATCAAAACAGCATGGTACTGGTACCAAAACAGAGATATAGACCAATGGAACAAAACAGAGGCATCAGAGGCAACACAACATATCTACAACCATACAATCTTTGATAAACCTGACAAAAACAAGCCATGGGGAAAGGATTCCCTGTTTAATAAATGGTGTTGGGAAAACTGGCTAGCCATGTGCAGAAAGCAGAAACTGGACCCCTTCCTGACACCTTACACTAAAATTAATGCCAGATGGATTAAAGACTTAAACATAAGACCTGGCACCATAAAACCCCTAGAAGAAAATCTAGGCAAAACCATTCAGGGCATAGGAGTAGGCAAGGACTTCATGACCAAAACACCAAAAGCATTGGCAACAAAAGCCAAAATAGACAAATGGGACCTAATCGAACTCCACAGCTTCTGCACGGCAAAAGAAACAGTCACTAGAGTGAATCGGCAACCAACAGAACGGGAAAATATTTTTGCAGTTTACCCATCTGACAAAGGGCTGATATCCAGAATTTACAAAGAACTCAAACAGATTTACAGGAAAGAAACAAACAAGCCCATTCAAAAGTGGGCAAAGGATATGAACAGACACTTTACAAAAGAAGACATACAAGAGGCCAACAAACATATGAAAAAATGCTCATCATCACTGGTCATTAGAGAGATGCAAATCAAAACCACATTGAGATACCATCTCACACCAGTTAGAATGGCAATCATTAAAAAATCTGGAGACAACAGATGCTGGAGAGGATGTGGAGAAATAGGAACACTGTTACACTGTTGGTGGGAGTGTAAATTAGTTCAACCATTGTGGAAGACAGTGTGGCGATTCCTCAAGGTCTTAGAAATAGAAATTCCAATTGACCCAGCAATCCCATTACTGGGTATATATCCAAAGGACTATAAATCATTCTACTATAAGGACACATGCACACAAATATTCAATGCAGCACTGTTTCCAATAGCAAAGACCTGGAACCAACCTAAATGCCCATCGATGATAGAATGGACTGGGAAAATGTGGCACATATACACCATGGAATATTATGCAGCAATCAGAAATGATGAGTTCGTGTCATTTGTAGCGACATGGATGAATCTGGAGAACATCATTCTCAGCAAACGGACACAAGAACAGAAAATGAAATACCGCATATTCTCACTCATAGGCGGGTGAGGAAAAATGAGAACACATGGACACAGGGAAGGGGTTACTACACACTGGAGTCTATTGGGGGGAATAGGGGAGGGACAGTGGGGGGCGGGGAGCTGGGGAGTGATAGCCTGGGGAGAAATGCCAAATATGGGTGAAGGGGAGGAAGGCAGCAAAACACACTGCCACGTGTGTACCTATGCAACTATCTTGCACGTTCTGCACATGTACCCCAAGACCTAAAATGCAATAAAAAAAAAAGGTTAAAGAAAATTAGTGGTCTGTGGATAAAAATGTGGAATAGTGCTCATCAATAAAAATGAATAAACTATTGATATACACAACATGGATGATTCTCAAAATCATTATGCTCAGTGAAAGAAGGTGGACGCAAAAGACTACTTACTCTATAATTCTCTTTATATAAAAATCTAGAAAATTTGAACTAACCTCTAGTGACAGAAAGCAGATTAGAAGTTGCTTGGGAAGTGGGGAGCAGGAAACGGGGGAAGGAGAGATTATCAAGAGGCCTGATAAAATTTTGGGAGATTATGAATGAATATTTTCACTATTTTAATTGAGGTGATAGTTTAACAGTTGTATATGTATGTGGAAACTTATCAAATTGAATACTTTAAACATGCACTTTATTGGAGGTTAATTATTCTTCAACAGAGGTATTTATAACAAAAAGAAAAACAAAAATACCAGAGACTGGGGCCAAATTATGAAAGATTTTAGATTACAAAAATGTTTCCTCCATGACACAATTAATATAGTTCTCACCTGAATACACACACACACACACACAAACACACAACCAGTTTAATTGAGCTATAATTATATGCCATACAATTAATTCATTTAATGTACAACAGACCATTTAATAAACCTGCATAATTGAATGATATTTAGTGTATACACTGAGTTGTGAGGTATATTTTTAATGCCCCTTCCTCAACAGAATATGCTTTTAGCAATACATATGAATAAACATAAATAATTATAACCAGAAAGAAAATACAGTATAAATTTTCTCTATGAAATATTTTGCATATAGTTATCATAGTAAACATGATAAGACAATTTTAAGAAAATTAAAACGTAAAATATAGGCAACTACTAAATTATGTAACTATTACAAATTTTAGCATTTGATTTTATGTAGTATTAAAATAATGGGCAATAAAAAGTACATTTCATACTTTAATTATTCAAATCCAGTAAAATATTTTATTTTCAAATGTAGTTAAGCTGTCTTTGTCCCCCACATTTTACTCCTTAAATTTGACACTTTGTTTCACTGATTTAGACATCAGTCAAAGCAAGTGATTACACAGAACCACAGAGCTGAGGTAACTTCGGCAGTTCTTTGTCTTTACCTGGGTTCTGGGAATTTAGACCTTGATGTTGCTACCCACACCTACCCTAAATATATGTAGAAATACCAAAGCCCTTTTTCTTCCTGTCTGTGGGACAAAGCGTTGACTCGTCTTCATTTCCTTCTCAGTCCTCGCCTGCTCCTTATCTCCCAGTGGCTAACTGTATACCTGTTGGTCTGGCGCCCAACCTTGGAGGACTCCGCCTCCCTCCCATCTCACGTTTTTTCTTCCTTAACCCCCTCCCTACTACAGGTAAACATCCACATCATCTTTTTGCATTGTGTTTATTTTATTGCATTCAACATGGGTGAACACTGTTGCTCTCAGATTTGGCCTTTATGTGATTGGCGATTCCCCAGAGCCACCTGTGGAGATGCTGTTGCTAGTTCTACGTTTCTGATCCAGGCTCTGCATTTACTGGCAGCAGAGATGGTTACTTGGGATGGCTTGACGTTGCCAGTATCTTCTATGCTTGCTTTTCTGATTTCTACTTCCTGGGGTTTTTTGCACTTGCTCTTCTGATTTTCATTTTGTGTCTTATTCTGCTTGTGGTGACACACAAATACTGCTGGGCTCATTGTCTTCCTAGGCGTTTTTGAGCAGGAAGGAGGTGATCGAGGTTTTTTTCTTGAATTTCTTTGGAGGGGTTTTTTTACCTTTGTAATTTTCTTCTCCACCTGGAAGGGCAACACAGTGAACCAGGACATTGGTTTATGGGAAGAGAAAGAACTTGTATAGGAAGGGGAGGTTTATAAATAGGGTTGTGCTAGGCAAGGATATGCTAGGAGTCTTGAGACAATATAGGGGGAAGAAGAGAAGGAACAAGGATAGGGTCATCTGACCTTGCCATTTTCTTTGGTCTTTTGTTGACAAGAGTTCTTCTTTTCCTTCTTCTTTTTGGTTCTTGGGGTTGGCTTTTTCGTGCTAATAATTGGTTGTTTCATTTTTTTTTTTTAGGCTTCACTGGTGTGTAGGTCTCCTTAGCCATATTTAAGCCTCCCAATGGTCTACCCCACGCTCCTGACCTCCTTGTATATACCCACCCCTGGGTAATGAGGAGCCCCGCCCTTCGGCTTTGTTTGGTCAGAAAGGAGCACCGCTATCCAATGATAGTCCTGGGGTGGCTTGGACATCACAAAGCGCTGACACCTCTGTGGGGGTGGTGTTGCTGGAGTGGCCAAGGTGTGGTTGGAGAGAGGGGATTTTCCCAACCCAAATAATATGTGAAGGTCCATTTCAAACTGATCTGCTACCACCGTCATTTCCCCATGTTCAATTCTGGTGGGTCACATAGCAGGGAGAAGGTGTTTCCTTAAAAACATTCCCTATGGCCACCCCCATTCAGTGGTTCATTCTGTTCTCTCACACCCTTTACCATGACCTACTATTTTGGATGTCTTATCTAAAAGCCCTTCAAGGTAAAATGGCCTTATTTAATTCTCAGTCAAAATATAAATCATTCCACTTCCCTCAAACAAATTTCCATTTTGTACCTGTATGGGTGTGGCTTGTAATCTAGGATAGGTGTTTTTTGTTTGTTTTTATTTTTGATTTACATTTCTAAATGGTTGAAAAATCAAAGAATATTTTATGATGTAAAAATTATGTGAAATTGAAATTTAAGTGTTCATAAAACTTTATTAGAACACAGATACACTAATTTAACTGTCATCTATGGCTGCTTTCACACAATAGGGTAGTTGTGATGGAGATTGTATAGCCTGTAACAAATAAAGTATTTGCTATATGTCCTTTCAGAAAAAAAGATTGCCAACTCCTGATCTATTCTGTTACACTGATCTATTTGCCTATCCTATGGCAAAGCCACATTGTCATAATTAATTTCATGTCATTTCGTAATTTTATGCTAAGAAATAAAATTAGGTAGCACAGCTCATCCAACTTTCCTCTTCTTTTTCAAGACAATTTCAGCTATTCTAGGTCCTTCATACATTCTTAAAAAATTTAGAATCAGCTTTTCTATTAATGTTAAAGCCTGTTATGATTTCATTGTGATGGTATTGAATTTCTAAATCAATATAGGGAGAATTGAAATCTTAATGATTATGACACCTTCAATTTTTGAACATACATCTCTTTATTTACTTAGGTCTTTCAGTTATCTCTGCAATGTTTTATAATGTTCAGTTTGTTTAAAATTCATATTGTTTCCTCCTTAAGTATTTGGTAGTAGTCATCTGTGAAAACATCCATTTCTGAAACTTTCCTTTTGAGAAGGTTTTATGTTTTGAATTAACTTTGGTAATTGCACTATTCAAAAAGTCTAGGCTAAGGTTACTTTGGTAAATTGTTTTTCAAAGACTTTTTAAATTTCATCTAAATTGTCAAATTTGTTGGCATTAAGTTGTACATAATATTCCCTTCTTATTTTTGATATGCCTGTAGCATGTGTAGTGATGCAACCTCTATAATTTTTGAAATTGGTAACTTATATTTTGTGGGTTTTTCTTGATTACCTTTAGGTAGCTTTTATGAATTTTACTCTTTAAAAAACTATATTCAGCATTATTGATTTCTATTATTTTGACTTTTTCTATTTCAATTATTTCTGTTTTTATCTTTACTATTTTACTTTTTCTATTTAATTCAAATTTAATTTATAGCCCCTTAAAGTGAAATCTTATTCTCTTTAACTCATTGTTCCTTTCTAATATAAAAATGAAGCTATAAATTTTCCACTTAGGACTGCTTAAGCTGCATCTCGTAAAATTTGAAATATTGTCTTACGCAGTTTGATTTATCTTTAATTTTACTTATAATTTAATTTTAAACCACGAGTTATTTAAAAGAATGTCCCTAATTTTGAAGGATTGGGTATATTCTAGACATTTTTTTTTTTTTTTTTTTTTTTTTTGTGGCGGAGTTTTGCTCTTATAACCCAGGCTGGAGTGTAATGGTGCAATCAGGGCTCACTGCAACCTCTGCCTCCTGGGTTCAGGCAATTCTCCTGCCTCAGCCTCCTGAGTAGTTGGGATTACAGGCAAGCGCCACCATGCCCAGCTAATTTTTTGTATTTTTAGTAGAGACGGGGTTTCGCCATGTTGACCCGGATGGTCTTGATCTCTTGACCTCGTGATCCACCCGACGCAGCCTCCCAAAATTCTGGGATTACAAGCTTGAGCCACCACACCTGGCCGACATGTTTTTTTTTTTAATTGCATTTTAGGTTTTGGGGTACATGTGAAGAACATGCAAGACAGTTGCATAGGTACACAGATGGCGGTGTGTTTTGCTGCCTTCCTCCCCTTCACCCATATTTGGCATTTCTCCCCAGGCTATCCCTCCCCAGCTCCCCCCCAGCTGTCCCTCCCCTATTCCCCCCAATAGCCCCTGTGTTTAGTACTCCCTTCCCTGTGTCCATGTGTTCTCATTTTTGCTCACCCGCCTATGAGTGAGAATATGCGGTATTTCATTTTCTGTTCTTGTGTCCGTTTGCTGAGAATGATGTTCTCCAGATTCATCCATGTCGCTACAAAGGACACGAACTCATCATTTTTGATTGCTGCATAATATTCCATGGTGTATATGTGCCACATTTTCCCAGTCCATTCTATCATCAATGGGCATTTGGGTTGGTTCCAGGTCTTTGCTACTGTAAACAGTACTGCATTGAACATTTGTGTGCATGTGTCCTTATAGTAGAATGATTTATAGTTTTTTGGATATATACCCAGTAATGGGATTGCTGGGTCAATTGGAATTTCTATTTCTAAGGCCTTGAGGAATCGCCACACTGTCTTCCACAATGGTTGAACTAATTTACACTCCCACCAACAGTGTAACAGTGTTCCTATTTCTCCACATCCTCTCCAGCATCTGTTGTCTCCAGATTTTTTAATGATTGCCATTCTAACTGGCATGAGATGGTATCTCAATGTGGTTCTGATTTGCATCTCTCTAATGACCAGTGATGATGAGCATTTTTTCATATGTTTGTTGGCCTCATGTATGTCTTCTTTTGTAAAGTGTCTGTTCATATCCTTTGCCCACTTTTGAATGGGCTTGTTTGTTTCTTTCCTGTAAATCTGTTTGAGTTCTTTGTAAATTCTGGATATCAGCCCTTTGTCAGATGGGTAAACTGCAAAAATTTTTTCCCATTCTGTTGGTTGCCGATTCACTCTAGTGACTGTTTCTTTTGCCGTGCAGAAGCTGTGGAGTTCGATTAGGTCCCATTTGTCTATTTTGGCTTTTGTTGCCAATGCTTTTGGTGTTTTGGTCATGAAGTCCTTGCCTACTCCTATGCCCTGAATGGTTTTGCCTAGATTTTCTTCTAGGGGTTTTATGGTGCCAGGTCTTATGTTTAAGTCTTTAATCCATCTGGCATTAATTTTAGTGTAAGGTGTCAGGAAGGGGTCCAGTTTCTGCTTTCTGCACATGGCTAGCCAGTTTTCCCAACACCATTTATTAAACAGGGAATCCTTTCCCCATGGCTTGTTTTTGTCAGGTTTATCAAAGATTGTATGGTTGTAGATATGTTGTGTTGCCTCTGATGCCTCTGTTTTGTTCCATTGGTCTATATCTCTGTTTTGGTACCAGTACCATGCTGTTTTGATTACTGTTGCCTTGTAGTATAGTTTAAAATCCGGTAGTGTGATTCCTCCCGCTGTGTTCTTTTTGCTTAGAATTGACTTGGCTATGCGGGCTCTCTTTTGATTCCATGTGAAGTTCATGGTGGTTTTTTCCAGTTCTGTGAAGAAAGTCAATGGGATCTTGATGGGAATAGTGTTGATTCTGTAAATTACTTTGGGCAGTATAGCCATTTTCATGATATTAATTCTTCCTAACCATGAACATGGAATGTTTCTCCATCTGTTTGTGTCCTCTCTTATTTCGTTGAGCAGTGGTTTGTAGTTTTCCTTGAAGAGGTCCCTTACGTTCCTTGTAATTTGTATTCCTAGGTTTTTTATTCTTTTTGTAGCAATTGTGAATGGCAGTTCGTTCTTGATTTGGCTCTCTTTAAGTCTGTTATTGGTGTATAGGAATGCTTGTGATTTTTGCACATTGATTTTATATCCTAAGACTTTTCTGAAGTTGCTTATTAATTCAGGAGTTTTTGGTCTGAGACGATGGGGTCTTCTAAGTATACTATCATGTCATCTGCAAATAGAGACAATTTGGCTTCCTCCTTTCCTATTTGAATACCCTTTATTTCTTTTCCTTGCCTGATTGCTCTGGCTAGAACTTCCAGTACTATATTAAATAGGAGTGTTGAAAGATGGCATCCTTGTCTGGTGCCAGATTTCAAACAGAATGCTTCCAGTTTTTGCCCATTCAGTATGATATTGACTGTTGGTTTGTCATAAATAGCTTTTATTACTTTGAGCTACGTTCCATCGATACCGAGTTTATTGAGGGTTTTTAGCATAAAGGGCTGTTGAATTTTGTCAAATGCCTTCTCTGTGTCAATTGAGATAATCTTGTGGTTTTTGTTTTTGGTTCTGTTTATGTGGTGAATTACGTTTATAGACTTGCGTATGTTGAACCAGCCTTGCATCCCCGGGATGAATCCTACTTGATCATGATGAATAAGTTTTTTGATTTGCTGTTGCAATCGGCTTGCCAGTATTTTATTGAAGATTTTTGCATCAATGTTCATCAAGGATATTGGCCTGAAGTTTTCTTTTCTTGTTGGGTTTTGCTATCAGGATGATGTTGGTCTCATAAAATGATTTGGGAAGGATTCCCTGTTTTGGGATTATTTGGAATAGTTTCAGAAGGAATGGTACCAGTTCCTCTTTGTGTGTCTGTTATAATTCTGCTATGAACCAATCTGGACCTGGGCTTTTTTTTGAGTGGTAGGCTCTTAATTGCTGCCTCAACTTCAGACCTTGTTATTAGACTATTCGTAATTTCAGCTTCCTCCTGGTTTAGGCTTGGGAGGACATAGGGTTCCAGGAGTTTATCCATTTCTTCCAGGTTTACTAGTTTATGTGCATAGAGTTGTTTGTAATATTCTCTGATGATGGTTTGAATTTCTGTGGAGTCTGTAGTGATTTCCCCTTTATCATTTTTTATTGCACCTATTTGGTTGT